TAGTAATATAAAATTAATAAATCTATAATAATAATTTTATTTTACCTTCTAACTGCTTTAGTTCATTAATTAGAGGGTGCATAAAGATATTAAAATTTTTGGTTGCTTTAGACCTGGTATAATTGCTACTACTAAAAGATTTTCTTTTTTTACACAAATTTCTGGTGACAAATTATTATTAATTATTAAAATTACCCAACAATCATCATGTTGTTGTTCAAATATTTGATATCCATCTAATGACACAGAAAATACTATATTACGATCATCAGGTAATAGCTCTTCTTCCAATATTTCTTTATATAACTTGCTATCATAAATATCTCTAATAGTTTCATTATCTTGTTTATAATTGGCACGATATCTTAATTGAATTGCATGAGTTGGATCTGCATATTGAATTTGTAACCGTGGAATTAATGGAAAGTAAATAGCAAATTTTCTTGGATTTTCTTTACTATCATATCGTGATCCACCACAAATTTTACAGCTTGTATTTTCAATAAATTCTTCAGTAAAGGCTTGACAAGAATTTATACACATTTCAACTTTTGTTTCTTCAAAATTTATTAACTGCTGTAGTTTTTTTTTTGCTAAATATAAACTTGCATTAGGACACTTAAAAATTTTTAAAACACTTTTATAAAAATTATTTGAAACAGCTAGATTTTCTATTTTTAAATATAATAATCACAAAGCTTGTATAATTTCTGGTGTCAAATAATTAAAATCTAGTAATATAAAAAATTATTTTAAAATAAATATTGAACTTTATTATTTTAAAATAATAAATAATAAACTACCCCAATTTATTTGATTATAAATTTCATTTTCATCTAATAAATTTTTGGAAAATTCATCTTCAGAAAAATCATTTTCGGTTATTAGCATTTCATTTACATAATTTATAGCACTAATATATTAAGTTAAAATAATTAATAAATAAAAATTAAACATATAATAAATAATAATTTGTTAATAAATTTATATACTTCTCTTCCAATTGATCATCATATTCATTATTATATTAATAATTTTCATTATCGTATTGATAATTTTCATTATCATATTTAACATCATATTAATTATTTTTATCACTATAATTATTTTGATATTGATAATTTTCAATATCACTAATTTCTAAATTTCCATCTATTGTAATTTCCATATTTTTTAAACTATTATTTTCAATATTTATATCCAATTCAATTTGTAAATTATTAAAACTTTCACTATTTTTAATACTTGTATTTAGTTGTATATGAGTATTTAACTGAGCTTGAATATTTTCTGAAGTTTTTTCTCTAAGGTTTAAATAAATAAATAAATAAAATTTAGATTATTTATAATAAAAATTTTATAAATTCTTACATTGCTATCATATTATGAATATAATTATTTGATTCAACCAAATTAAGTTGAAAAATATTATTATCTTTAATAAAGTATTTTTGATGCTTTAGCTTAGTTCATTTAGTAACTTTAATACCATCTGAGTTTTTTTGAATACATTTTGGATATTGACAAATTATAAATTTTGAATCTATTTGTAAGAATTTTAATTCGAAAATAATTATTAGTAATAGATATTTAATTACTGGCTATAACGATAAAGTTTACTTTATGTTACACAATCTATTTGTAATACATTCTATAATTAGTAGCCAATTATAATTAAATTTAGTAAACACGTAGAAATTTCGTGTTGATCAAAATATAAATATATATAAATATTAAAATTTTATTTCCTTTTTAATTTTTAGAACTTTAACAAGGATGTCACAAAAAGAAATTCAAAATTTAAGTACACTTCTTGCAGAAACTGTTCAAAAATTTCTGCACTTGAAGCTAAATATAAAAACCCTTCTGAACTTCTGATAATTTCTAAACCAAAAGTATCAAAAGATAAAAAACAAACAAAAATTTCATTAAGCAAAGTTTTTTTCTTAAATGAATCTGAAATTTCTGAAGTAAAAAAAATGGCAGGAATTATTTTAGATAACTATAGAATTTTACGTGATACAACAATTTCTAGAGTTAAACAACACTTGTTAATAACTGGATCGATATGGTAAAAAATTTTTAATGTTATAAATATTTATATATACAAATCTAATAGTATTTTAGTTAAAAAAAGAATATTCGAAATATTTTGGTGAAAATAACTGGGCCTATTATGAAGCTATAAAGCAAGTTATGCAAGATAGAAGTAAATTTTAATTTTAATTTATATTATATTATTTAATAAATATTTAAACTACTAAATTTTTTAATTTAAAAAACTTTTAATATATTAAGCGTATATTTATTAATTTAATTTTAATTTTTAAGGTGCATATGAAAGATGAAAAAAAAAAACAAAAGATTCAAGAAAAAGTACTTAATGAAAATATTGCAAATCAAAACAATTCGGATGTTGAAAAAATTACAAGTGAAAGTGAAAATGAAATTGAAAATGTAAATGAGATTGAGAATGCAAATGAGATTGAAAATGCAAATGAAGTTCAAACAAATAAAGGTAAATTAAAAATTTATAAAAAACAAAATTTTATAATATCAACATCATTTAATTTAAATAATCTAATTATTTACAATATTATAAATAAAAATTTAAAAAATATTAAACAATGACCAAAAAGAAAAAGAAATCAATCTATATCTTATTGAGTTTAAATAGTAGTATGAAACTATTATGCATAATTGAATAATTATCTTGCCTTTTAATAAATTCATTTTGCTATATATAACTAGTTAAAATAATTATTAGTATTAAGATTTTTTAAATAAATAAAATTTAGTAAATTATATTAATAAAAAATATCGTATATTAATTAATTTAATTTATTATTATTAAATATAAAAGATTAATAATAAATATGATAACTATATATTACTTTTCTATATAAAATTATATGCTTCGAATATACGTAAATGGTACATTTTCCGTGTTTGGAACATGTAATTTTGCATGTAAAAAGACTATTAAAAAAGTGCAAAATTACCTGTAAATTACATACTAATTTCCGGGTATTTTACGTATTTTTCTTCCATGTATTTTTCCATACTTTTTCATTTTAACTTTTTTTATAGGGGTAATATATTTGTTATAAAAGTCTACTGTAATCTATATTCGATTCCTTTTTTACATTTTTTGTTAAGGTTTGTTGGTTGACATGAACTGTTTTTTCCATAAAATTTTCGAGCACACCAAACATGTTGGGCAAGCATTCGGACGAAAATTTAAAATTGTTGACATTATTGTTATGACAATCATAAAATGATCATTATATGATACAAAAATACGTACGTAGCTTATTTTATTATATGGATAATAATAATACCGATCAATAACTTAACCGGATCGGCTGAAAAATCATTCGGCAAATTTTTACAGGTGTCCCAAGTAGTGTTCCGCAGATCCGGATCCGGATCCACGATTTATAAGTACTACCGAATCCGGATCCATATTGGGATCCGATCCAGTAGATCCGTTTGGATCCGGTCATTCTGATTGGCTTATATTATTTAAAACTAACTCTAATTTTTTTTTTTTTATCTCTAAACCGTTAAATAAACTTTGAATTGGATCAACTCTAAGTTTTCTAAGCCTTCTAAGTTTTCTAAAACTGCTAAATTTTTTATGCCTTAAAAGTTTTCTAAGCCTTTAAGTCTTCTAATCCCTAACTATTAACGATTATAATAGAAAGGGACGTTATGATAAATTTTAAATTTTAGTTTTTTTTTTTTTTTTTTTTTATACTGTACTAAAGTTAATAATATTTTTTTTTCAGTTATCGTTAAAAGTCGTCGCTAGAGCCTCAACGAAATCGTCATTGGAACTTTCGTTGGAGCCTTGAAGCTGTGGATTCCTTGTTCTTTTGGTAATTTGGAAGTTTTTTTTTTCTTTTGAAGTTCTTCGTATTTTGGTATGTCTTACGCGCGCGTTTCTGTGGATCTTCCAGTAAGTTCTGCTCGTCGTTTTTCGGTGGGTTCTTTAGCAAGTTTGCCGTTTTTGGCGGGTTCTTTCAGTAAGCCGTTTGCCGTTTTTTGGCTGGTTCTTCGGCAAGTTTTTCGTCGTTTTTCGGTGAATTTTTCGGTAAGTTCGTCGTGGGTTCTTTAGATACTTAGTCGTTTTCAGAGGAATAGTTTTGAATTCTTCGTGACCCTTACGTGATGCTTCCAGTAAATTCATCATCGATTGTGGTGGGTTCTTTAGTAAGTTCTTTGTGGGTTCTTTACGTAAGTGCGTTGCTTCGTCGTTTTCATCTTCTGTTTCATGCTTTTTTTTTGCTGTTTTCGTCACGATTTCCGTCCCGTTTTCGCCCATTTTCTTCCGCTTTATTCCCGTTTTCTTCCGCTTTATGCGTCGTTTTTCTTATCGTTTTCGTCCTACTAAAAAAAAAAAATTATTAAAATAAATAAAAAAACTTATAAAAAAAAAATAAATAAAAAAACGCAAAGTTAATTTTTCGTTTTGCATAACCCGCAAACTTAATAAAAAAAAAAAGTATTAATGCTCTTGATTGTCATGGCGACGGGTCGCCATAAACTAACGCTCATAAAAAAATATTGTCATTAAAAAAAGAATTACCTATTATCGGATCCGGATCTTTCTTATTCGGATCCGAATCTGGACTTGGATTCGATCCGGTTTTTCGGATCGGATCCGGATCTCTAAAAATATCCGTCCGATCCGATCCGTGCGGAACACTAGTCCCAGGAATTATGATAATAGCTGTAAATTATATTTTGATTTTGCCTTATGCTAATTTTGCCCGGAATTATACTTTTCGAAATTATAATTTGTTTTGCTTGGACTTATGCCTATTTTCCTACTTGAAATTTTGCTTTAAAATAAAATTTGATTTTGCCCAGAGTTATGCCCGTAATTATACTTATTAATTTTGCATGAATTAGGGTTAGGGTTGGGATAACTTACCTGGCAACGTAACCTAATAAAACATAGTGCCCGACACATGGACACTATGTTCCATCGGCACCATTCCCGGCAATTGCAGAACGAACTTCGAAAATCGAATAATTAATCTGATCTTGTAATTAGTGGCTACGCAATTATATTCAAGCCATTTTAATATACCAACTAATCGATTAGCCGATTAATCGATTATAATCAATTTTTTTGGTCAACTAATCGACTGCATTTTTTATCTAACTGATAATCGGCTATATTACGAAAAAATGCAGTAAATTTGGACAAAAAAGTAACAATTCAGACAAAAGACTTGTCACTTATTATCTTTTTTCATATAATTACATGTAAAATTTTATTCATAAACAAAAAAAATAAAATTCAATTAAAATATAATTTTATACGTCTAATAATGCTTATTTAAATAAAATGCTCTTTGAATCGTTAAAATTATTGAAGCCAATTTAAAATATTCAAAGTAATATACTATTTATTTTAATGGCGTATTTAGAGTTGGAATTCTTATAAAATTACAAACACTCTTTTCTTTATCCTTAAATTGTGGTTGAGTTTTAAATATTTCTTTCATTTTGTTCAAACTATGTATTAGTATATTTCTAAATATTTGCAAACTCTGGACCAAATCAATAATCCCATCAATTGTGCCCGGTTTATAAGGAATCGAAATATTAGATAGCCTTCTCAACCGAAAAAAAGGTGATCCAAAATAAAAAGTTCTAAGCTCGTTCCTAAAAATAAGGTTATTAAAATTTAATAAACGTAAATGTTACAAGTGATGAAAAAGATAGAAGCAGACTATGAGCATGAATTAAAAAGGTGTTAATTTCTTTAAAAATCTTAAATTTTGGGTTTCAGTTGAATAATTTAGGTTGATAAAATTTAGAGCATCATCCAATGTATCTTTTGCACATTTTCAAAGTTTAATGTGGTCATCAGATATTTGTGATTGAGCTTGCATTGTATTAATCCGTAACCGTTACATATTCTTAAGATGCTCCGTTTAATTTGATCTAAGCTATTGTTAAAATCTAATTTGCCAACGATAGCGCTGTAAATGCAAAAGTTGTAACGACTTTTCTCTAATTTATATTTATTAGAATATCCTATGTATTCATTCATTTCAAAATGAGAGAAAAAATAGAAAAATAAAATTTGGTTTTGATTTTCAAATAATTGTAAATTCTGATTGTGTTCTGATTGGTCAGTCGATCTTTTGCAGAATTAGGTAATCGTAATTCTGGTAAAACATGGTACCTAAAGTTACCATCTATCTGAAGTTGCAACTTTAGATATATAAAGTTGCACCTAACCAGAATTATATGTATGAAGATTTAATTTTAGGGGCTTAATTTTAGTCGGTCAACTTTATATATCTAAAGGTACAACTTCAGATAGATGGTAACTTTAGATACGACATTTTAATATAAGATGTGCAGATCCCAGTAAAAAAATAAGAATTTTCAAAACTTTGACCAAAGATGTCTACCTATATCATTATTGTCTGATATAGGCTCTACTGGTTCCAATATTTTCTTTTTTTAAAAATTTGTAAATTTTTTTTTTTTTTCTAATAATGTGGATGACAAAGCTGTCTTCCTATTTCAAGATACGGGTATGCTTGTAGTATTTGTTTTTTGCGGCACTTTTCATATGCAAGCTCTGTTATTACACGAAACCTAACATTGGTATTTACGTAGTTGGTAACAGAACATGGCCCAAGATTTTTAGTTTTCATTTTACTGTATATCACGAACTCAAAAATGATTTTATTTTTTTTTATTTTATGCGATCTAAATATCCAATATAGATATAAAATATCAGGCAGTTATTCTTAAAGAAGATTGATAACAAAATAACAATCACGTTGCTTACCACCATGAAAATATTCGTTCACGGTAAAACTTTATCTTGATCACAAAAAAGCACTTTTTTTTTTTTTTTGCTACATATATATTTTGATTAGCCAATCATATTTAACAAATAGAGATCAGCAGATTGCGCACTCGCAGCCAATAAAACAGAACTTCTGTCATGCTTCTCTGACCAGAGATGCCTAGAAAAAACCTTTTTATTATGGTGAGTTTTGAAATGTTCTTAAATATCATTAATTAAAATCGCTCTTTGGTTATGATATTTCTAAAAAAAAAAAATCCGCTAAAATTTGACTGAAATTTGGACATATTTTATATGAATATTTATAATTTTTAAAGGACAACTTTTATTTTTTTTTCTAGATTTAGGTTAGAGTTTCGAGTTAGAGTTGTTAATCAATAATTTTAAATTTAAAATAGAGATCTTGCATCGCCAATTTCATCATTAACGCATCAATAAGTAATTATCAAATTCTTTATTGATACGCACTTTAATCTATTTATTTTCCCAACTAAATAGTTTCCTACTCAGTTGGATCAGTCTTACCAAATTAAATAATCAAGATTGTTTGATTTGTTTCATTTAGTGAAGGAATTTAAAATATTAATTCGTGGTTTATGGCTTATGGACGTAAATGGATAGTTGGAATACAATAACCTAATTACTTATGATAGTTTTTTTTTTAAGAACCTTAAAATCATTATCACAATGTTTAACTTGATTTTGTTATAATGATGCTTAGGTTATTTTTCTTTATATAATTATTATAGTTTAT